ATTATGTCCGAACTAAGGTAAATAAAAGTTTTTATAAAAATATGTAATAAATGTACACAAGCCCATGTAAATAAACTTACTCTAAATACGAGTAACTATATATTGTTTGTGCAGATTTTGGATAACTCATCGTCGTTGCGAAAAAACTTTACAGCATTTACCAGCGGCTACAACGGAGACGTTACCCTTTCTAACGTTGCCCGATAATCCGCTTATGCAACCCGGAAGACACAAAATTTATGTTAAATTGCATCGGCATCCCAATGTTATAATTGTAGGTGGCAGTACACTAAATACATATTGCTTGAGCTCACAAAAAATAAAAATTTTCTTCTTTTAGGTGGTTCAGTTAAAGGAAAAACCCAATACGCCAAATGAAATGGAATACACATTTCATTTGGGTTTTGTCGCATATCAAACTACTGAGACTGATATTACTGCAGAGGAATCACAAAATACGCGTTTGGTTTCCAGTTCGAATCCTCCTCCCCATCCCCCAACTGTAAGCGCTGAAGTACCAAAAGTATACACGAAGCTGTTGCGTCTAATCGAGTTTGATACTTTTGTCGCCACACATGGCCCAGGCACGGATGTGGATGGTAATAACTTTAAAGAGATTTTTATACTCCATTTTACTCATATTATTCTCTTTTTATTTCGCATATAGAACTGCCACCACACAAGCGTAAATCAAATAGTGAACTTGGACCACCTGCCAAGCAGCAAAAGACAATTTATCCAGCCTATTTTATACCAGAACTAGCGCACGTTATTGCGATGTGCGATGAAAAGATACCATTTTTGAATCTAGCACAGGAATTGTCGAGACGTGAAATACCAAATAGCGGCTTGCAAGTCGAAGCTAACGCTACATCTTTGGTGCTAAAAATACTTTCATTACCCATGCCGGGTCAACCACCAGTAGATCAAAAGGTAACTATTTCCGTAATAAAAGAACTATTTCCATGCAATTAATCAACCGATTCTTGTATATGTTAGAATCCAACTGGTACGTCATTACCAACTATTGAAAAAATTGTTTGGAATGATCTCATGAAGCGTTTGCTCTCGATTTCCGTTCGTTCACAAATGAACAAATCTAATCAGATACGAAATTGGGGTGTGGAGTTTGTCTTTTACAGTACTCCTTTACAAAGCACTCATCAAAAAGAGCAGGGAAATCGGCGAACTGTCTATTTGACATATGAGCAGGCAAACCACGATTTTGTCAAAACGGTAGATGATTTATTGCGTGACTGGTCAAAGATTGTTTACCTATACACATTAGTGTTTAACTTCTCCGAGCATGTAAAGAATAGTAAGTAAACATTTTTACACAAATTATATGTTTTTACGCTTTTTAGTACTTTTAACAAAAAAAAAAAAAACATTCTTCTCGGTAGCTAGTCTACGTTCGCATATGAAGATTTTAATGTAACAAAACTATGATTTTTTTAGAACGTCTAAACCTTTCTGATATGGTGAGTGTAAAGTCGTACAACTACATGAATCTGCTGCTGGGTTATGGTCCAAAAAAAGAAGTCACTTGTAATATTTATTGGTGTGCTCAGTCGAATGGTTTTCGTCTTATTTACGTTGGCGGCATATCGGCAGTGAATGCACATTCTATGATGCGAGATCAGTTAGCTTCGCATTTGAATCGCCAGAACAATCTTACACAAGTTGTACAAATATTGCATGAAACCTATAATCCGCTGAGTTCGATTGCTAAGCTGCCTATAATACCCTTGCTTGGCATTCCAGTACGTATATATTGCTCATGTTCAGTTCAGAAGCATATGCATTTTTAAATTGTTTTCTATTTATACATTCAGCGCCCTCAAGTACCAATTTTGTCATTCTGTATACTCCCACAATCGCCATGTCTCATACGGTTGGCATATCAAGCTATTTATTGTCTGGAGATACGCATGCGCAGCGGCCGTCTAGTATCGATTAGAGACGGCGCATACTCTCGTTTTGATCGCAATCTAATCGACGAATTTACACCTATTCAGGGATTGAAAGTGAGTAATTTAGCACGTATATAGCAAATACACATGGTACAATTATTACAGGTATTGCCATCCCAGAGAGTTATGCTTCACATCGAAATTCGTGCTCCCTTATTTTCATTTTGACGCAGTTCAATGTTGATTCTTTACTTTTATTTGGCTTTGCTTTTTGTTTTTGCTCAATTAAATTTTTATAATTTTTTAAAAACTAAAGAAAAAACGTTTAAAATTAAAGGGAGCCATACAAATTTTGAATTTATTTACTAAGTAAATGCTTTTTTCGGCTTTTGCAAATTAAATACATAAGTTCCCTGCCAGAAGATTTATTTGAAAAAACACGTGGACATAATATATTATATGGTATATGGGGTACGGAAATATCCTTTTTCCTAGCAGTAAACCTTTTAGTATGGGCAGGAATGATGATAAGGCAGATCGGAATATGCGCTCTCTGGGAAGACAATACCTGTACTTATTGTACCCTGGGAGATACATATGTATTTATTTGAATTTAAAACTTACACTAAATATTTACATTTTTCTTTGCAGGGCTTTCTTTTGAAACATGTCGATGAAAATGCCGTTTATCGTGGGCGCTCACAAAGTGAAGATGATAATCCACCTTCGCCTTTGGGTATGGAGGACAGTTACAGTGGTCCTGGCAGTGTATCTGGCGCAGGTACTGGCGGCTCATCACCATTTACCAGTGGCGGCATGCGTGGTCCCCAATCGCCTCGTGATAGCGGATTGCGTTTTCCCACACCACATACACCACCATCCAGCTCAAATCCCCATACGCCAGCAAGTCCACATCCATCGGCTGGCAGTGGTGGTGGTAGCAGCCAAAACCATCCAAATTACAACTTAACATCGCCGCCTGCACACCACATGCCGCACCCGTCACCCGGTGGCCTTATGCCATCGTCACCGCTAAATCCCCAACCAAGTCCACACATGGTGCATAGCCCTGGCCCGAATACGCTATATATGCAAGGACATCAGGACTCACCATTTACTGCAATGTCGCCAGCTAACACGAATTGGCCGGGTTCGCCCAGTATGCCACGGCCATCACCACGTCCTGGACAAAGTCCGGAACATAAACCAAGCGGAGGAAGTGGCACAAATGCAGGCACAACATCAACAATGTCGCGTGTGCCCTCGAATCGCTCATGGGCTGGTGCCGTGCCCACGATTCTGACGCATGAAGCGCTGGAAACACTGTGCCGGCCAAGTCCACATCCCAGCAAAGATATTACCGGCCCGGAAATAAGTCCGCTGGAACGTTTCTTGGGTTGCGTTTTTATGCGCCGCATGCTGCAGCGTCACATTCAGGGTGATGAATCTATCACACCACTCAATTCCAATGAGCCGGGTATGGTGTTGTTCAAAGTAGACGGCCTGCAATTTCAGGTTATGTTGAACCAGATGCACATGGAATCATTGCATTTGAAGGCACAGCACTTGCCTACACCACCTACGCCCGATGGCAAGCAACCATTCCAACTAAGTGCTGATGATTTGCTAGTATTGGAACAGTTCTTTGATTTGCGCGTAGTATCGCCTCCCTATCGACCAAACGCTATGACAGCCTACTGTCGCGTACTCAGTTGTCCAGGGCAGGTGCTCAAAGATTTTGTGCAAATTATGCGGCTCGATCTGAAACCTGAGGTAATGGGGGATCAATTAAAGTGGGCATTGCAATTCTGCATGCGTGTGCCACCTTCGGCAGCTATTATACCTATTGGTACACCAGGCATATATATTTGCAAACTGAAGATTCTCTTTTTCGTAAGTAATATTTATAAGAATACAAGAGTTTACAAAGAATGTTAAATAAGTAGTGGTTACCGAATGTTTAAAACAATTACATCTTTTAGCTGCAAATCACGCGCATTCCATACAAAGGAAAGGAATGGAAAGATAGCCCATCTTTGTTGTTGCCTATGGTTTACGATTTAACTTCGAATATTACACAGCTGGTTGAGCGACGCGAACAAGTGCAATCACCAGCGATGAATGCTGTGAGCGCATCGCTGCGCCGTTTCACTGAATTCGGTGTTCAGCATGGCCAGTGTTCTCTATTTCCAGCTGTACTGGAACTGCTAACCAATCTTCAACTACCCAACGATGTGCCACCACCCAATCAGGTTGGTTTTCACTTTTATTTTTAGGTATCTCATACTATATTATTATTTTTTTATTCTAGAATATTGGTCCACCAGTAGGACAAGTGGTCGGTTCTAGCCCAAATCCGATGATGCACTCGCCGATGCAACAAATGGGACAAATGGGTCCATCGCCGGTGGGTCCCGGTTACCCGCAAATGGCACAAAATCAAGGTCCACAGTGATGAAGGCGCAAACGCCGCACGGTAAACAAGAATAACAACTGTGCTGGCAGTGATGGCGGGAATCCTAATATGCAATGATCATTAATCGAGTACTTTGAAAACAAAACAGACGGGACACTAATTAATCAACCAGCTTCTACATCATAACACCAACCGAAAAATGCAAATATTAATTACATAAATTAAATGTTCGGCAACATAACTTTTATTGAAATTGCCTAAATATATCAAAAGCTGATACATATGTGTATAAAGTTTTTTTTTTTGTCATTATGCGCAAAATTAAAGCGCTAAGTTTAGATGATTGTATTAATAAAAGGATCACATCTGTGTATTAAATATACATGTATACACACAAATATTGTTGCATTGAGCCCAATTATTTCCCGAAAACCTGTCGTAAGTATGTCCATATTTTATATTTATTGTTGCCTTTGTTCTTGCTTGATTTTATATTTCTTTATTTTTTCACATGTACAAGTATATTTTTATAAATTGCTACAATCAATTGTAATTATTTTAACAGGAGGGTTTCTCTTAGCAAATAAAATGCAAGTTTATTATCGTTACCTTAATATAAAAAGGCTCTATCTAACATTTTTAGTTCTTTACAGAGTATTTATACCCACAAAAGTGGTTCAGATGTAATTTTCTTCATTGAACTGGTTTTCAATTAACATAGAAACTAATTTTTTGATGTAGTAATTGATTTTAAATTCGATTAAGTTTTGTAAGTGAGTAATCTACCGACTTTTGCGCAGAGCTGACGTTCAAAAGAGAAAATGAATTAGAGCTCTTCTATATTAAGGTACATATCGTTACCTATGTACATATATTTAAGTTTCTTGTTTGGCTTTCAATAATTCATACAGTAGTGTATAATGACTCGATAAACAGTGCGTGGAATCCGTTTGAATATTTGGTTTGGTAGCATTCAACTTCTGCTTATCACATTCACATCGATCCTTTGATCATATTGCTTGCCCTTTTAAGTAAGTAAAACGCCTTAATCGCCATTTTTTTCTACTATATCAGTATGTTGTACTTGCGCCGAGAGCTCTGTAATATCATCAATTTCAGAGATCAGATTCACACAATAACGTAAACGTTTGCTGCGCAAATAGCTGTGTGAGTTGTCGAAAACCACCGTATCTAAATATGTATGGGTATGTGGGAAAAAATTAGGGGTTTGCTTTAGTTATGTACATATGTATACGCTTTTCTATAAGCTCTGCAGCCCTTTAAGCCGACTGAGCCATGTTAACTTACATGTCGTATTGGCTCTTGTGGTGATGAAGCCCACCTCGTCCATTTCATTGGAATAGACGGTACCAAGCGCCACTTCGCTGCGTTTTTCCCCGGTCGTCTTGTCAATGCTGTATATACCGAATTTGATGTCATAGTCGAATGTGCGAAAGTCCCACGATAGCATTAGGTTTTCTTGTTTCGTTTCGGTCACATGAAAGTCCAGCTTGAGCTTGTTACCCTTACTTATTGTCGTCTCGTTATAGTCTTTATCGTTGTCATCACTGCCACTGCCGTGTTCTACAAACATATCTTGAGGAATTTTACCAGCCCAAATGATCTGAAAGGAAAGGTGTGAATGATATATGTATGTACATATGTATGTAGATTTGTAGATTTCTATTTAAATGCAATGGATATGGACGATGACGCTTAAGTGAAAACATCTTTCGGCTCGGCACCATTGGACTAACAACAATAGCGTGGCCACGAGCGCATAGGGACCCCAGGAAATTTGGTACGAAGAACTAGCGAAACTTCTTAGAGGTCTCGGGCCCCAAATCGACAAACGGTTTTAGAACAAGGGGAGTAAAAGCAAAAGTGTGTTTATTACTAAGTATATTCACAAAGCATTACAAACTGCATTTATCATGAAGTTTTATTTTTTTGAATAGGTCAACTACTCTATCTTTTTTTGGACCTTCAAACTTTTGTTGGTGTGGGCTGAACCTAAAATCTACTCCAGGTGCCTATCAAACAAAGTACAAGCTTACCGAACTACCTTCCACTGGCGTCCTTGTCTTTCCAGCGGAGCATCTGCGTTCATATGCACACAAGCGTGTTATTGTTGCCTATTACGGTATCCGACGGATGCCATCCGCACGGATCTTATCCGAATCGCACTATCATAACAAGCGAGTGTGAAGGATTAGATTCATGCGAATGACATCCGTAGGATACATGCCAATTCTGGTCTGAAGGATGGCCCTCGCACGAACCTAATCCTTCACACTCACTTGTTATGACAGTGCGAATCGGATTAGATACGTGCGGAAGGCATCCGTCGGATACTGTAATAGGCATTATTAAGTCCTAGTCACAAAGATACCTTTCTTAACTGCAGTGCAACTATACGATGGATAACGAACCCATTTTTGTCTGGTAACTAAGTGGATCGTGCAAAAAGTCGATGAAAAGTGGATAAAGTAAAATATTTCGATGGTCTTCATCTGGTGGGTAAACCCGGTAAAAGGAGAGGGAGATTTAAATCTAAAAATTTTAGGTCGAGTTTATAGAACTGCATAGCTCGACAATACTCAATTCTTACTCTATCGGCAGCGGTGAGATGCCATAACCAATCCGTGTAAAGCCTTAGACCACTGTGAAATTTAGAAATTTAGTGGGATGATTCCCACGCATTCGGCATAACAGTCCATTAAAGTGTGCATCGTCTATTCACGAGAAGATGCAGCTGCAAGCGGACGTCCATCTTGGCGGCGGCTTGTGCGCAGGGGTTGTGACCGATCTGTTACGTAAAACAAACTTCCAATGGATACAAGATTCGGATGAGACTTTCTACTTTTGACAACGACCCATGTTAACATTTTCAGAGAAATTATTTGAGGGCATGCACCTAAAACGTTTGGGCCCTTAATGGGCAAGGTGCCTTTGGCGGTCGGTTGACGTCCGCATAAGAGCAAAGGAAGACTGAAGTAATGCAATGGAAGCCTCTGTGTGGTTGATCGTCGGAAAATTCGGTCTCTACGATAAAAGGTCTGATAACCGACTGAGACTGATTGACTTCGCTTTGGCCGGAAACATAATAACTTGAAGCATAAAAAATAAGCTGGGCTCGAATCGTCACATCCGTTCACGGATCGAAAACGATACAAAAGAAAATTACGTGATACGTCAGGCAGTATAAGCTGAATGGGACAAAGAGTACGTTCACGTATGTCATGATCCGAAAAATGTATTTTTACGTGACGAATAGTACGATATCGTATGTGACGATTCGAGGACTGACAATCTCTGCGCCGATTTCAAAGCCGCTTTCGACAGCACGACAGCCAAGTTACCTGGAAGCCGCAATGTCTGAATTTTGGTGTTACCGCATAACTAATACGACTTTATGAAAGGACGTTGAGCAATTCAAAAGTAAATTGCGCATTCTTGGGCCGTGTGATGGCTTCAAAAGTAAATCCATCAATACCAACTAACCTTCGATTTGCATTCTGGATCTCCATTCTCGTCGACATAATTTCCACCAAAACATTTTGGAAATATATCAGGATTCACATGGGAGAATAAGGGCTCCTTCCATTTATCGCAGCCATTTTTATAGATTTTGATTTTGCTCATTGTGTATTCGTCCAGGAACTTTTTCACAAAGTTGAAAGCAACCGAGAAGAGTTTGGGTGCTGTAAAAGGTAAAAAACAAAAAAAAAAAACATAAACATTAGGTCTCGTTGAAAGAAGTATGTATGCACATCGATGGTACCATTGACAATATAGCACATTTTTAGCAACTCAGGATAATTGCTCTCGTACTCTTTGACCGTTGATAGAACACACTCGGCCGCTGGCCGCCATGCATATTGCTTCAAATTGGAATCAGCCATATCGAAAAAGACTACCAATTGTCGAGCTTGTGGTCCATATGTTTTGCTCTGTTCATATCCAGCTTGCATAAAACGTTCCAATAGTAAGACCAAGTAACGTTGGAAGTCGAAACGTGTGACACAGTGTAGCATACCCCAAATATCGAATTTGTAGAATGGACAAACAATAACTGCGAAAATGTTGAAATAATAAAAGTTACCAAAATATAATTAATCGAATAGCTGCACCTACTTGGCGATCCCTCGTTATCGTAACCAATCAATCCGTACGGCATATATTCCCTGAGAGCACGTGGCGCATCCCATTTCTCCAAGTTGTCCACATTCCACGTGGCTCGTGTCTTCAAACTCTGTAAAGAATTATGTATGTATGTACATACATATGTAGGTTGTAGTGGTCGTTATTTTGCGAAATAACACTGGAATTCCCAGCAAACAATTGAGTTTGATATACATTTGAGAATGATTTGAATTTAAAGCCTTTCTCAAATGTCAAACGTTTGAAAATGATTTCATATTGATTTGAAAATTGCAGCTTTCTCAATAAAAAAGGGGAGTTTGATCCCCATTTGAGAATATGGTTATCTCTCAAATCAATTTCAAAGGTTATTTATCAATTGTACTTCAAATGTGGAAATACAATTTATTAAAGGAAATGTATATTTTATATTTATTTTTCCTTCACGATCTATGATTTCTGGTTTGACCATTTTGAAATGTTGCTGTTTTATAACTGAAAAAAATTTTTAAGATTTAGAGTTTTCATTTAATTTTCCTTAATAAATTTTATAAACTAAACCCTGTTGTTAAAAAATATAGGGTATTTTGTGTATTTTTTAAAATGTTGCAGACACAACTAGAGAAGCCAATCCCGCAAGCCTGTGCGATCGAGGTGATCAATCCCGCAGATTCGCAAGATTTGTGGGACTGAAAAAAATCATATTATTTCCTCTAAAAAGTTATATTCAAAATTGATATGTAAAAAAAGAGTTGATTTAGAAGACTTACGTATTTATTTTTAATTGGGTTGACTTTTTTGATAATACTTCCGAAAGAATGATAAAGTCTTTAAAGTTTCATCTTTTAAATTCGACCTTATTTTATTGCATATATAGGCATATCTCAGGGACTTTTGAAACTAGCTTAAACATCAGTGATTCTGGATTATTCAAATTTAACTAAGTTTTCCTGTTTTTCAGCGTAACCTTTTTACCGTTTGATATTTGAAAATGGTGTTAAAATAATATATATTCTATATAAGATACTCTTACACCAGAGCTGAATGTGTGCCTCTAATAGAATCAGAGCTATGAGAATATATTCGAAATTTAGCATCTGAAAGGAAGCTCAAGAAAAGAAATCAAATTTTCCGCGGGTACACTTATTTATCGATTTCTCGCGGATCCCGCATGTGTACTCCCTCATTTCTGATGGTGCGGGTTGCCGCATTTGCGAATATTAAAAAAAAGTAAAATATTATCTCACCGCTCGTAACATATGCTCGGCCGCCTCTGGATTCCATTTGCGTGCTAAATGTGAAAAAGGAAAACAAAAATGTAAACTATTGTGAAAAGGATGCTTTTGCAATGAATGAATTAGGAAGCTTGTCATACCACGCAGCCAACGTAGTAGAAAGTAATCATCATGTGTATCGTTGAGAACATCGGAAACGCTTTTGCGAAACTGTAACGAGAAATATGTAAAGTAATCAGTAAATTAATCAATTAGATTCTTTATATACAAAAATTAGCACAATAACAATACATATGTATGTATGAGGAATTTTTCGCCAACTGAAGCACCCTACACCCAAAATTAATTCAGTTAAAAAAAAAAAATCGATTGTAGGCGTGAAAATTCGGTAAAAATATTTACTTTTAAAAAACGTATATATTTACATTAGACCGTATTTCTTCCAAGCGATTTTGAACACACATTTCACTGTAGGAACGCTAAAATGACACAAAAAAACGACGAAACATAAAAAAACGTTTTTCTAGATCTGGCTATTTTCCTATGATATTTTCATTTTAAGTTTGCATTACGAATGAAAAAAATTCAAACTTTAACATGGAAAATATTACACATTTTTTTATTTATTCATCGATTTTCTTCGTTTGCAGCTTGAGTTTTTTTTTTAAGAACAGACTTTAATATGTGCAAATGAAAAAAATTTACAAAAAATCTGTTAATTTTTTCCATGTTAAACTTTGTTGTTGTTTTTTCACAAAAATCAAAATATCTTGCAAAAATTACCTAATCTAAAAAACCAAATAGGGTTTCGTAATCCACGACTAGAAGTTGAGTTCACATGTTTCAGCGTTTTTTTTTGTTGTAATTTCAAAACTTGCAATTTTCCCTACAGTGCTATGAAAGTACATATGTATGGCAGGAGAGTAAATTTTTTTTCGGCACCTTGTGAAATTTTTATAAATAGATTTTTTCTATAACTTTTTGATTTTATATCCGTTTCTATAAATAACACAGGTCAATAAAAATGGAAAAAAAAATTCTTTCTTTGCCAAAGCTTCTCAATATTGCAAAAAACACGATTTTTTGACAAGTTGACCTGGTTTCTCTCAAAATCTGGGCCTAATGGGGTTCGGGTTACGGGTTCGTATTCAGCACAGAAAAGCCTATCAAAAACAGCTTTTACATTTGCCGTACCAAAATCAGTGTTGCCCTGTGTAATACATCGTTGTAAAGGACAAAGCATTTAGTTGTATATTCAGAACTTTTATCATGTCTTATTAACTTTCCAAGTTATGTTGAAATGTATGTATATGTCTGAAACCGATACCCTCTACGCAATATAATGTGTCAGAAAAATAATCCCCATGTCAAATTATAACGCTCTGATAAGAATAATACTAACCTTTTTTCAATAAACAACAGCTAACTACTAATTTTGTAAATATTTAATTAAAGTAAATCTTTTCGGGACTCAAGTTGCCTCAATCGTGCTCGATTATTAAGCTTAGGCAAATGTGTTGATAATTATTAGAGACGTACAATGTACCGCTGGGAGAAAGCTTGGCAAATATTTACTTGACTGTTGTTGTGCTATGAAGACTTGCGAAATGGTCGCGTGGAGATCGTACTTAGTCACTTAGTTGTGAAAAGATATTTAAATACATGCTAATGCATAAAACCATGCACGATTCGTATTATTTTCAAAAATGAAGTGCCTGATTAAAAAGCTTGACCTGTAGACAATAGAGGTACATTTTTTTTTTAAGAGTTGCCACCTGTTAAAAAATGGATTCAAATGTTTTAATAAGTTAAATGAATTATCAAGAGATGGGTATCAACCGAAATGTGTATGGGTTTAATTCTTAACTACATGTAGAGGATTGCCACCTGTTGAAGAAATCAAATTCTATTGGAATTAAAGGAATTAGGTTATTGAAATAGATAGTTATCATCACCATATGGGAGTCAAATGAGAGAGATTTAAGAAGGTTTTAGCTTGTAAATATTACGAAGATGGTTGCCACCTGTTTGTAAAGTCAAACTAAGTTAAACTAAAATAATAATTGTGTCAAACCAACGGCTAACGACATCGTATTTGTTATTTTATTACAAATACATGCAATGTCAAGCAGTGATTTGTTCTGATTACATTCCTTTTAAATTAATGGACTCTTAAATTAACTCAGGAATGTTTTTACTCTTCACTTATTTCTTGATTAATATGTCCAATTTTTTCTTTTGTCTTATACCTATATTGATATACATATTTGAGTTACCTTATGCCATTTGTTAAAGTGAATTTGACTTTTTAAACATGTGGCCAGCCTTCTACCTGTCGTTGAAAAGTAAATCATTTTCAAAACCATTTCAATTGATGCCCGTATTATAATATCTAGTTCATTGAACTTATTAAATAATTTTAATAAAATTAGTAACAGGTGGCAATCCGTTAAAAAAAATAAAACTTTGTTGCACGTCTACAGGCCAAGCCCTGTCATTTGACACCTCACTTTTGAAAATAGAACGAAGTATATGTACACACCTATGTATATAAATGCCACAAGAACCCAAATTTTCAGCTTCAAACTGGATTTACAGTGAAAGTATGAAAGTTGTCCAAAAACAAATTGCATTTTTGAATTTACCGTCCTCAATTTTACTAAGAAGCGAATTTTCATTTAAATCCGTCCATAATTCTATTTTTGCCCACATTTCATATGGAAGGGAAGCACTGTGGCGCCACTTTAAATAAAAAAGTCGGTTTCACACCCATTTATTTATTATTTATTTTATGTTAAGAGAGATAGAAGCAAATTTTTTTCGTTGAAAGTTATCTCTAAATCCCGGGACTAATCCCCGGATCCCGGGATTGTGATAATGACATCTCGAAAATCCCGGGATCGTAAAAAGCAAAAAAATTAACATCCCTAGTACATACATAGATACTATTTGTATTCGAATGGAATAAAATTAGTGTCATTGTCAGCGCAAAAAAATTTTCAAAAATCAGCGAAACTTTTTAGCAACATTAGAATACTTGATAAGCAAGTGTGGAGCTCTGCACTTGATTACGCAAAAACATTGTGCAAAAATATATACATGCATACACATATGTATGTATGTATACTAAATTTTAACAATCGAGTTGATTTATCGCTTCGGCCTTGGAAGTAAAAAAAAAACTAAATACAAAGAATTGTGTTTTAAAATAATAAGTTGTCATAACTGGTTTAAGATCATTCAAACAGACATACATATGTACATTAGGGTGGTCCAAAAACAGTGAAGTCGGAATTGTAATGCTCTCACCCGCTAGGATGGTTCTATATCCAAAAAAGTATACACCTATTTTTTTTTATTTTGAAATCAAAAAATATTTAGAGGTCGCTCAAAGCGCTCAAAGTTTTCCATGTATTTTTATACGGGGAAAATAAATTTTTTCGTTGAAATGGTATAGAATTCTTGCAAATCCATATTTTTCGTTCAGAAAACTCTGGTTCTCTTCAGGAGACTTTCAACATTTAAACATTTTATTTAAACATTTTTTAATACCAACGATTTTTTATTGGTCGCCCCATTGCATTTTTCGGGGTTTTGTGGGCTTTTGGTGGACCTATAAATTATAGTTGCGATGAAAAAATGGTTAAACAATTGGCTATTATTTTTGGGAATCTCCTGCAGATAAACAGAGTTTTCTGGGAGAAAAATATTGATTTTTAACTTTTCTATACCATTTCTACGAAAAGTGGTTTTTTTCCCCCATATAAAATACATGGAAAACTTAAGGGCATATTTTTTCGGTGAGAGTATAAAAATTCCGACTTTGTGGGGGAAACATGCCTTTTTGGACCACCCTAATGTACATACACACATACCACCATATGTATAATTTTATGCATTAGCAGGATTTTAATTCTTCTTTCGAATGCTAAAAACCCGTGCTATTTAATAAAGTAACAAAAAAATATATATTTTTACATATATTTTTTATTCATTCCATTAAAATTTAACATTTTTGGAAATTTTGATAAAAAAAAATTGTTTTTCTGGAATACCGCAGGGACAACCTGTGTTCAATTTTGTTCCAAAATATTTAATACCGTAGCTCTCTACTATCCATATGAAAATAAGAAACGTAAAACCAACATTTAATTTCAAAGAATGTCTTTTTATGTATTTATTCTTATTAATATTCTTAGTAAAAACTTTGGCGACTTTAATGGCTTCCTGGCGGCATATAATTCATGTTATAGGGAAATTTCTATTTAATTCTTTTTAGTGGATAAATTACCTTTACGAAAATACAAGTTCACATTGCAGACAACGAATTTTTCGATTTTTGCCCACTTAGGTGGCACTGTGTGGCGCTTTTATTTTTTCTTTCCGATGTCAGGATTTATTTTAAAGGACTTTGTAATTTCAAAGACATGTTTGACACCAAAAATGATTTAAAAAATTCAATGCAATGTAGAATAAAAATTTGGGTACTAAATGAAAGAGAAAGTTTCTTTAGAATTCAAAAAATTAAATTTTTTTTGGATTCACAAGCACGAATAGGTAATTTTTTAAGCTGATGAAGTTGGAAGGACGAAATTATAATTTTTTCAAAAAGCGAATTTTGAAGGTTAAAAATTTTAAAAGAACATTTTCAATACTTACCAGTCCTTATGCACCAAAACATTGAATCTGATTAAATTCTACAGAATTTCCTTTTTAATTTGATATCCATACTTTTTCTCTAAGCTCATTTCACTGAATTTTTTAAATCATTTTTGGATTACTGACGTCAGAGTAAAAAACTAAAAAAAGCAATTTTACTATATTTGGCCCATGGTTTCGCAAATACATTAAGGCAGTTCACTATCTGATACGAAAATGCGAAAGGTAAAAATTAGCGTTTGTTTTGTTGCGTTGCTGTGCGTTTGTGCGAAACGATGGCACCGTGCCATATGTTTGTTGTAAAAAACTGCCGATTTTCGCACTTTCGCTCAAACGCACACAGCTTCGCATGAAAGAGTGAACTCTAGTATTGATTTTTGTGTGCAGAATTTACTATCGAACAGTGTTATATGTATAATGAGCTAGACATTTATAAAAAATTATTAAATAAAAAAAAGAAATATAGGCAATACTGGTCAAGCAAAAGATATTCTATTATTGCCATCAGTGCAAATTATCAATCCCGAAAATCACGGGATTTTCGGGACCTA